TTCAGCAACTCAAGTTTGCTGAACTAGTGATATTTTTTTACTTTTTGTGATTCTCCTCACCCCACCCCGCCCCCGCCCCGCCCCGCCATAGTCTCCATTCCCTGCCAATATAGAACCTGAGGTATACATCTCCATGGATACCATTAAACATATACAAGTTATTCCAGAAAGTGTATGTGAACAAAGATTTTAGGTTTTTGGACAAAACTTCCCGGTACATTATACAAAAACAGTATTTTACTCCGACCAGCAATAATTCAATTCCTAAAACGTTTCAAGTATGACGCTGTCATGGTTGGTGGAAGTAATAAAACAAATATAGGGCTTTAGAAATCTTTTGAGAGGGGTGTGATAGGGAATAGAAGATGTATTGTTGTGGATAGACACAGTTCTAATATAAGTACAAACCATTAACGTATCACTGACTGCATTGTAAACATTGTCTCAGTACACAACCAAGACACTGTGCTACTGTGAGGTGCATGGTCATAAACTAATATACTCTGCGACTGTCCAGTCTGTTTGTTCAGTATGTTTGTCTAGTCTGTACATGTATGCCAAAAACTGTCTGTCCAGTCTGTCTGTCCATCCAAACATTGTCCATTCTGTTTGACCATCCAAACTGTCTGTCCATTCTGTATGACCATCCAAACAGTCTTTCGAGTCTGTCTGTCCCAAATCTTGCTTTTTTTTTCCATTAGGCAAATTAATTATTAAGTGTAGATTGATCAGTTCAAAACTTAGTGGTGTAAAACTATTAAGTTTTGATCACACTTTTCAAATATCCCTAACTATGTGTACACAGTTTGTCAGCAGTGTTCACTCTCAGTGTTCTCCCCAGGATGTAAACAGCGTGGCGGTCCCGCCACAGTGCTTCGATTTGCCGCCACACCAGTCTGACACCGCCACGGTGATTAGCAAGACCGCCACAGTGCTTTTTTCATTGGGGATCTCGTCACGCTGGTCGGGCCGACCAGCACTCAAAATTAGCGACCACCACGGAAACGCGTCCGACTATTGTCATATTGTTATTATACTTACGTACCGACCGACAAGCATCCTGCCAGTCGTGGATAATAATTTGTAAACAATAGACATAGTCGTGCGATGTGGTATCGGCTTTAAACAATACAAGTCAATTTTGTAAAATTAGCACCTCTTTGTAAGTAAATATTTTCTG